TGCTCTCCTTGCAGCCTCCTGGAACTGGCAGGAGGGAAAGATGGGGGAGGAGATGAACCGGAGAAAACACAGGGAGGATGAGCGCTCCATCCAGAACAATGAAGCCAAGGTCACAAACCTTCAGAAAGAGGTGAGGCTGCCTGTTTCCTGTGGGTCTTTCCCAGGCTTGGGTGGGGCGATCTGGATGAGGGGCAGAAGCAGTGGAGGCCCCGCTGATCGCATGCCTCACTGAAGTGCATGACTTTTCATTTGTGCAGTTTGTCTTTAAATGAGCCATGCTCTGGACCTAGCCCTGGTCCCCTCTCCCGTGAACTCTGTGTACACTTGAAGTTCCGGCATCTCACATAAATCTCACATGTGTGCTTCCATGAGTTGGGGAGGGACTGAGGGTCTGATATTTGCTCAGACTGATGGCCTTTTCAGGGGTGGTCAGAGGGGCCCTTCTGGCAGTTGTGTCCCCTCTACCCATCTTCAGCAAACTTCTGATCCTTTTATACATGACTGTCCTGGAACTGGGCATTGGAGCACCTCTGGCAGGCACACTCTGTCTTGGGGGTTTCACTGCAAAGGTGCAGCTTGCATAGACAGGGATGAATGCTCTGAGCGGACGTATGGTGAGGAGATAGGGCTTTTCCTGAGCCTAGAAGGAAAGGAGCTTAGGGGTGGGGGTGGAGCAGCAGGATAGCCAGGCTTAGTGGCTCATGCCTGTACCTGCAGCACTGGGAGTTTTGGGGTTGCGGGGAGCTGATGTAGGAGGACTGGAAGTTCCAGCACAGCCTGGGCAGCATAGTGACTTAGCAAGATCCTGTCTCAAAATAAACGGCTAAGGATGGAGCTGCCTGGAAAGGTCCTGGGTTCCAACCCCAGGACCAAAAATTGAAAGAAAAGACAAAGGAGCTGCACACTGAGCCCGTCTGGGTGGGTGTGGGCAGCAGGTGCTGGACGTGGAGAGGAGGCTGCAGGCCCGTGGGTGAGAAAAGTGCTCCCCTCTCCACTCAGTATGAGATCAGAACTCTGAAGCGTGCCAGGGCAGGGTGATGGGGCTGAGCTGCACTTGGGTCATGGTCACCCAAGATGTGAACCTGTGTGGTAGATTTGTCAGCATGCATCAAATAGAGCAGGGAAGATCTGCACATCATCACATGTACATTATATACCTGTCTGTGTGTGTGTGGCTGGTGACTGAACCCAGTACCTTCTTCCGGAGGTATTGTATTTTTTATTTTGAGGTAACCTGGCTTCCAACTAGGAATTTTCATGGCTGTGGTTTCCCACAGCCTGTCCTTGTCCCTCACGTGGATGTGAAGGGGCAGTGTGTAACTGAGCCAGGAGAGCTCACACCCTACAGGATGTTTTGACAGAAGAGGTCCCAGTCCCCAGCAGGTTCCACCCTGGGAGGTGTCTCTCGCACATGTGGCTCCAGATCCTGAGCCTGGTTTCCTTGCTGAAAACTCCCTTGTTCTCCGCCCAGTGAAGAGGGTCCTCCCAGGGGCCTCTGTTGGGGAGGGTAAGAGGGCTGGTGGCCAGGAGCTCAGAACCTGGGCGTGGCTGTGTAACTCTGGGCATGAGCAGCCTTTCTGTGCCCTGTTTCCTCTTGAAGAGGTCCATGGACCTTGGGATCTACCTTCCCCAGCTTTCCAGAGTCCTACAATTACAAGCATCCAGCACCACACCCAGCACAGATTCACCAATTAATACGTGCAGAGCCCCAAGGAACAGTGTCCTGGTGGAATCACGACAGCACCTCAGGGTGGATATGCCTGCAACATGGGGAGCCCTCTGAGCTGGGCAGACCCACAGTTAGGGGCACGTTGCCCCGTGAGCCTCTGGGTGGCGGCATTAGCTCCTCTTCCTCCTCCCCGACCCAGGTGGGCCTGTTCAGCGGCGTCTGCATCATCGTGGGCACCATCAT